TATATGTTTTATGATAATTTATGGGTCCTAATTGATAAATCTAAGTTCCTGGAATTAAGTAGGTACTATGTATAGATTAAAACTACTCTCTTACACTAACACTAATTACAGATCTGATCTCAAAGTTGTGACATTACAAGTTACTATAATTGAGTAGAGTAAGCATTTAAAGTTGAGATAATGTTAAATTATTAGTTACTACAACTTAAGTTGAGTTAGCAGAAATAAACATTTAAAGTTGAGATAATGTTAAATTATTAGTTACAACAACTTAAGTTGAGTTAGCAGAAATAAGCATTTAAAGTTGAGATAATGTTAAATTATTAGTTACTACAACATAAGTTGAGTTAGCAGAAATAAGCATTCAAAGTTGAGATAATGTTAAATTATTAGTTACTACAACTTAAGTTGAGTTAGCAGAAATAACCATTAAAAGTTGACATGATGTTATGTTATAAGAGTTAAGTTATACAGTTAAGTTGAATTCCCTAACTTAAGATCAGCCTGAAGTTTGTTGCCTTACAATTTTAAGTTCTGCCAACTTTCTTTTTTTTACAGTGTACGTCCTGCCTGGCCAATACTTGTTGAAGGATAAGCTCACATAGCAAAAGTAGCTATAAAAAAAGTATTCAAGCTCCTTTGATAGAACACACTAGATACACACAACAACTAAATGCTAATCTGATAGCCTTATGCTACCATCCATCCATCCATCCATCCATCCATTATCAATACCGCTTATTCCCTCATGGGGTCGTGGGGGGAACTGGAGCCTATCCCAGTGGTCAACGGGCGAGAGGCAGGGTACACCCTGGACAGTCCTTATGCTACCCTTAATGTTAAATGGACCTTTAGAAAAACATGTGGAACAGGTCTCAGTCTGGGCCTGGATGCCTGCTGTCAAATCAATCAAATCATTGGGTGACTGAGCATAATTGACAGCCTGAGTGGGCTCCTGTAAAACACTTTTTATTTTATAACCAGTTCCACTGAGACTTAAACTCAGATTGCTGGATTCTTGCTGGATTGGACATTTGGCCGGTGTTTGTTGTTCATCTAAGATTCGGGATGCATACGATGTGCATTTACCAAATTA